AAGGTTGGTGGTGATTGGATGTCTAACATAGTGAATGCCAGTGAAAATGAGGTAGGATCAGAGGCTAAAACAGGGAAATAAGTTAAAAATTACTTAGACAAGTTAGATGTCTTCAAGTCACCAGGGCCTGATGAAATGCATTCTAGAATACTGAAGGAGCTGATTGAGGAGATATCTGAGCCATTAGCAATTATCTCTGAAAAGTCAGAAGATGGGAGAGATTCCAGAAGACTGGAAAAGGGCAAGTATTGTGCCAATCTACAAAAAGGGAAATAAGGACAATCCAGGGAATTACAGACCAGTCAGCTTAACTTTTATACCTGGAAAGATATTGGAGAAAGTTATGCAATCAATGTGCAAAATCTAGAAGATAATAACGTGATAAGTAATAGTCAGCATGGATTTGTCAAGAATAAATCATGTCAAACCAACCTGATAGCTTTCTTTGACAGAGTAACAAGCCTTGTGGATGGGGAGGAAGCGGTAGACGTGATATATCTCGACTTTAGTAAAGCTTTTGATACGGTCTCGCATGACCTTCTCATAAACAAACTAGGGAAATGCAACCTAGATGGAGCTCCTATAAGGTGGATGAATAACTGGTTGGAAAACCATTCCCAGAGTAGTTATCAGTGGTTCACGGTCATGCTGGAAGGGCAAAATGAGTGGGGTCCTTCAGGGATCAGTTCTGGGTCTGGTTCTGTTCAATATCTTCATCAATGATTTGGATAATGGCATACAGAGTAAACTTATAAAGTTTGCAGACCATAGCAAGCTGGGAGGGGTTGCAAGTGTTTTGGAGGATATAATTATAATTCTAAATGATCTGGACAAAACTGGAGAAATGGCCTGAAGTAAATAGGGTGAAATTCAATAAGGACAAATACAAAGTACTCCACTTTGGGAGGAACAATCAGTTGCACACATACAAAATGGGATATGACTGCCTAGGAAAGAGTACTGCGGAAAGGGATCTGGGGGTCATAGTGGACCAAATTTGGGATTTCTAAGCCAAGCAATTAAGACTGCTGATGAGAGCAAAACATTGTTAAAAAAGTGCTTGGGGGTAGGTGGGGGAGGGGGGAGAACGCAGAGGGGGCTCAGCGGTGAAGACTCACTTTTTAATCTCATATCTCCCAAATACCTTGTCTGTTTCACCTCAAAGTTCTCACAAAGACTCTACTCTGCTGTAACATTACAACTGAACTTCAAGTGGCTTGAATTATAATTATGGCAAAATTTGGGGACTGAGGTGTCAAAATCTGGCTTGTAATGGAAGACTGGAGCATATAACCCCTTTCCACAGCCTTCAACACCCAGTGGTCTGGTGGTGATAAGAGACCAGGCCGAGCTGAAGTGAGATAGGCAGTCCGAAGACAAAGGAGGGACAGGAACCAGTGGCACAGGAACTGGTATAATGCTCTTGGGCATCCCATCAAAAAGTTCTGTTTGGCTGCCTCAGAATATCTGGCTGGGCCAAACAGGAACTCTGGGGCGGATGGGGGCAATTGCCTGTGTCTAAATTCCTTGCTCCATTTCTTTTGCAGGTCCTGATGGGGTGGCAGAGCTGAGAAACTGGTGGAGTGCTGGAGCCTGAAATGCTTCCTCGTAGGCACTAGGGTGTAGAGACCCAGGGACTTGAGGGTTCTTCTTGAATCTTTCAGGAATGGAGCTTTGTATCCGTTTGCTCTGAGAACTCCGTTGGTGGTCCTGAGGACTGAAGCCAAGAGCATTTGCACATGACCATCACAGAAGCCATGCATCTGGCCACCAAGTCTACTGAGTCCAGAGCAGCCTGCAGGGAAGCCCTGGCTATAGAACTCCCCTCCTCCATCAGAACACAGAACTTCTGCCAGGACTCCTGGGGAACAAGTCCTTGAATTTCAACATCGACTCCCAGATGTTGAAGTTGTACCTTCCCAGCAATGCCTGCTGATTGGAGAAGCAGAGTTGCAGACCACGGGTAGAATAAACCTTTCTACCAAAAAGTTCTAGTGTCTGAGTCTTCTGCCTTGGGGTGCACTCCTTGCTGCCCTTGCCTGTCCAGCTCATTGGCCGCCGAGACCACCAGGGACCCCGGAGGAGGGTGGGCGTACAAATACTCATAACCCTGAGCAGGAACAAAGTACTTTTTTTCATCCCTCTTTGAGGTGGAAGGGAGGGAGGATGGGTTTAACAGGGCTTTAAACAGTCCCATGATGGCCTCATTGAGAGGGAGAGCCACTTTTGATAGGACCACCACAGCCAAAATATCAACCAGGCTGTGGGAGGACTGACTACCTACACTTCCAGCCCGAAGTTCGAGATCACTCTTTTTAACAGCTTTTGATAAGCCCTGAGTCATTGTAGGGAGGTAATACGCATGCCCTTGACACTGCATCAGCTGGGGAGAAGGAAGAGGAGGTCTGCACCGGAAGGCGATCCTCCTCCTCTCCTTGTGCACCAACTGGGTCTCGGCCCGGAGGGTCAGTACCAGGCTTGGTATCAGAGTCCGGATTGGGTGCGGGTTGAAGGGATGGAGATGCTCTCCTCTCCGAGACCACAGGAGTATGAGTGCCTAGAAGGGGGCTCCCACATAGAAGAAAACTCCACGGGTTCCAAAATGACCATTAC